ATGCGGCGCTTCCGACGCGACATCGCGTTTTTTTCGCAAATTTTAACGCCGGCACCGACGGTATTGTAGACGAATGGGTCAAAATTGAAAACTTGGCTAGGAACTATTTTTACATGCAGTGTAATCCCACAGTAAGTCCCTAATATGCGGAACTGGTAGGTTATTCTTATTACGATGTGCAATCTTTACTGAAACCATGTCATATCTTTTGGTTCTGGCGGTTCTCCTATTATAAAAAAAAGAAGGTCACGGACTTATCCGACAATCCGACATCTTTGTATTTGTAGAAACTACCACCGTGGACACAAGTGACCCGCATACTCGAAGGCGCTGAGCCAGCGTCGTTCATACAATGGTGTGTCATTCGCTACATTGTTCGGACAACAGATGATTAAAATTCTTTTTCATTGATTCATACAATTGCGTCTCTTTTGCAAATTTTAAAAAGCAACATTTTGAAAATCATCCTCAATCACCATGAAATCTCGTCTTTCACAGCTCTTTCTATTTGACTACATGTCTGTTCAAACAATTGGATTTACATTAACGTGTAGTAGCGTTAATCTTTGGACTTACTCATTTATTAGAGACTTCGAATAATCCTTTACATTGAGCATGCCGTTTGAGGTTCGATGAATGGGATGAGGGGAAGAAAAAGAAGACTTTCGAACCTCATTTATTCCAAGTATCGGACGAAAGTGGCAAATTGGTTGTTGAAGAAATTGCTAACTTTACGCAGGAAGTGAACACTTAAGAGCTTACTTTGGATCTAAGTAACTCATAATTGACCGTACTCTACAAATTTAGAGTCTTGACGGTGACGACGTTATGATTCTCGACGCCCTCAACCAAATTTACGTTTGGGTAGGAGCTGGAGCTAATCCTAAGGAGAAAGAAGGAGCGCAGAATACGGCTAAAGTAAGTATCAGAAGCAAGTATTCCACCATATACTTTACAACAGATTAGCGACTATTTCTGCCATTTTGATGTTTGTAGAAATACCTCAAACAAGGTGCTCTTCCACGTCACAAAAATACAACAATCGAAACAATTTTTCAAGGAAAAGAGACTCCAACTTTCAAAAAGTTCTTTCCAAAATGGGATGACAAACTATTCGAAACCGTAAGCTTCTCACTCTTGCACTACGCAATTCTATGATTGATTTTCAATTTCAGGATGCTCGATCCGTTGAGAAAATGAGAAAGCTTCTTTTCCATTGATTGCTGTTTGACCTAACCTTTATTGTAGAGTTTTAGTGCGTCAGAACGTTAAGGTTAGAAATGATCCATCAGCTAATTATTTCTGTTGTTTAAGCTACTTCCAATAAAAGATTAAATAAATAACCTTCGAAATGTTCATAACTCTATCAATAAATTACAACAACAATTCTCACTTTATTTTCATTGAAGTAAGTACGATTCTTTTTTATATGGCCATAGTCAGAAGAGACGGTGATC